TATACTGGTTTATGTGTGATTTCTACCCGGAGCCTAAGTGCCTGGGGGGGTTACATACTGTAATCTGTGTCACAACCTCAATCCACCAGGTCTTTATCACTTGATCTAATATTTGTTCAAAATAATTTAGAAGGACTGTTTAACCTTGTTTAGTATTCCTAAATAGAGCTGGTCAAAAATTTCCCACTGGATTGTTTTTCTATTGAAAAATACTGGTTTGTTGAAATAGATTATTTCCTTGAGAATATGCTGAGATTTTAATAAGAACAAAATGGAAGGGCATGTTTCATTTTTAAATAACTTTGCATGTCAAGTTTAATTTATATTATAAATTAACAAATGAGTAAAATTGAAACAACAACGTTTCAGTGTCTTCAGATATATAATATTTCAATTGAACAGAATGGAAACATTAAAATGCAATAGGACATTTCACAGGGGTATAGGGTGTAGCTGTGTTGGTCTAAGGACATAGGCAGACAAGGTTCTTTGGGTGAATCTGATATCTTTTATTAGACCAACTTAAATAGTTGGAAAAAAAATTTAAGCAAGCTTTTGGGTTTAAAAACCCTTCGTCAGGCTAAGGAAGTTTCTGCAGTTGGTACGTGCTCTTCCTGGATGGAATGAAAAGTAAAGAACATTTCCGGCCTTTTTTTTGTTTCCTTCTGATTTGGAACAAAAATAAATTTTGATATGCTGGGATTTATAATGTAGGAAAAAAAAGAGTTTTCACCAATTCTTTTCTTATTCCTGTTGGAATCACTGGCACATTGTAGAATATCTGTTCAGCTTTAACTATTGGGCTGGTTCATACTGAGGTTAAACCTCAAGGGAGAAATTTCTCTGACCAAGAATTTCAAAATCTGTCTAAAATTAGGATAAATAAAATGTGAACCAGTGCCCACACTGGAGTGTGTATGGATCTTTTCATTAAATTCAGCATGCATTCTATCAGGCCTACCTTCAATATTTAGATGTCTAAAGAGCTGACCTGGTTTTCAACAATACTGAGCACTCAGTAAATACTAGTGAAGCCAATGTAGCCTGTGAAGTTGTTCATAGTTTCACAGTAGCTAGGGTCAGGAGGGACCTGAACAGATCATTTAGCCTGACCCCTTGCCACAGGCAGGAATGAATGCTGGGTTCACAAGACCCCAGACAGGTGATCGTCCAATCTCTTCTTGAATTTGCCCAAGGTAGGGGCGAGGACAAATGTTCAGCGTTTTTAAAACTCAAATGACTTAGAAATGAACTCCCAGGCAGTCAGACCCAGACCCCTGAATTTGCAGATGAACATTTCTCCAAACCGGTCCATAGGCACAGAATACTTATTAAGGTTTCTAAATATGTTTTGGATTCCTTTCCTCCTTAGGCACCCAGTTTTAAAAAGCTTGTCTCCTTCATTTAATGGCACATGTGTCCTCCCCCAGGATAACCAAGCATACTTCATCCTGAGATAGCAGAGGTTGAGCATGACTTCCCTTGAAATTGTTGGTCCCGGCTCTTACAGGTTGCTGTAATGGTGGGGAAGAGGTGCATTATCTCCCGTGTGTTGTCAGTGCTCCCCTTGTTGTCACTATTCCCTTGATTGACATCCAGCAGAAGAGAAATCTGGACCCTTCAGGGGGATAGGGACAAGAAAGCAAGAGAGAAGGGCATAAAAGGACTATATTGATGCAAGGAGCCTAAGGGGAAGCCTGAAACCAGGTGCCAGTGTATGTGTAATTAAAGATTGTATCATCATGTCTATAATAAAATTGCACAAGTGAGCTTAACTGTAACACTTTGCAATTTTCGTCTTTGCAATCTTAATATTCTTTTACCATGGATTTTGCTTGCTGTGTACTATAAGTTTTCTTATTCACAGTTCTGAACACCTAAGACAGAGCCATTCCATGGTCCTATCAGACTGGGTGAGTTTAGGAGACACCTCATTGTACACAAAGACTTAAGTCACCAAACATTACCAGGAGGTAGGAACATTTCCATTTTGTTGCTGTCTCTGCAAGTTGCAGATGTGTCTGATGGCTCATTTAGTTAGCTGTAGAATGGGTTTTTGAGAATGAAAAGCAGAGCAGTAGCATCTTTGCCGATGTTGCACGACTTTTGTGTATTTATTTTAAATGTTGATGGCAATCTTTACTATTATTTATGACAATAAACTTACTAATTATAATATACTGTATATATAACAGGCATATATCATACCAATTATTATATACTGTATTATAACATATTGCACTATGAACACTTAAAAATGTAATCTGTAGGCACCCTACTGTACTTTAAGAAGGATGCAGAGAAACTGGAAAGGATCTAGAGATGAGATGAGCAACAGAAATAGTTGGCATTCAAGCTGTTTGAGGCAAGGTTGAGGAGAAAAATAAGATTCTGTGGGTAGGGGGGCAGGGGCGTGATGGCATTTTTCTAGCATTTGAAAGACTGCCATGAAGAAGGCTGCCAGAGAGGGCAGAACAAGAGGTGGTGAGTTTATATTACAACAAAGCAGATTTAAATTGAATCTCAGGGAAAACTTCTCAATTGTAAGAACAGTGGGAGACTGGAACAAGCTGCCTAGAGAAGTTGAGGAATCCCCTTCACTGGAAGTCATAGAATCAGAGAAAATTAGGTTAGGAACAGAACTCAGGAGGTCACATCTAGTCCAACTCACTGCTCAACGCAGGACCATCCCCAGCTAGACCATCCCAACCAAGGCCTTATCCAGCTAGATCTTACAAACCTCCAAGGATGGAGATTGCACAACCTCGCTGTGTAACCTGTATTGAAGAAGAGACTGCACAGGCACCTGTCTGGGAAAAGTTAGGAATAGTGAATCCAGCACAAGGTTAATTTAGATGACCCTTGAGGCCCGTCCAACTCCATGATTCTATAATTCTGAGCAAATGTGAGGTAATTAGGAGATACGATTACTATAAAGCAGAAACTGTGTGAATACTTATAATTAATTTCTCTCTTCACCCTTTCAGTTATATTAATACAAAGTCATTTGCTCCTTACTCTAGGCACCTTAGGAAAAACGTGGAAAAAAAAATCAACTATAATTGTACTCTAAACCATCCCGTACTGTGAATACGGCATCACGAGCCACTGATCTGTCTTCTAAACAAGGAATTATTACTTGTTAAAATCACATTCAGCTACAACATGCTCTGGGAATTTTAATTTAGAGGGCTTCAGTTGTAAACTGAAACTGACTCAGTCCCTCTCCCGTTTCCTGGCAGCATCTGTTTAAATACTTTCAGGCATCTTTGTCATTTTTAGTTTAATTGAGAAATGTTAATGTTTGTTTTTAAATCATACTCAGATTTCGACTGTCCTTGGCTAAAACCATCTCAGGATAAAACAGAAGAAATGAGTGGGATTCTGGTGAGATCAAAACCCACCATCAGTCTCATGGGCTGAGAACGCATGGATGATCAGTCCTTAGCTTGCCCTTCCTTCTTCACATAGGCTAGGTACAGACATTATAATTTTACCAGTAGAAGTAATCAGAAACTGGTCTGTACTCGTAAGAGAACAGAAGTCCGGCACACAAACCAGCCTATACCCATAACAGAACTGAAGTTCAGCACACGTAGACTGTTTTAAAAATGGCAGAACCCAATCTAAGATTAGTCCCCCCTCAACAAAGGGAGAATATGCGTTTTGTTTACTACCGATTTAAGCTATGCCGCTGATGGAAAACTGCATGACTTATACCAGGGGCGGGCAATTATCTTGGGCAGAGGGCCGCTTACTGAGTTTTGGCAAGCCATTGAGGGCCACATGTCAGGCAGCCTAGGGCAGATTAATATTAATTTTCTAAATTTTTTAGGGGCTCCACGGGCCAGATAGAATGGCCTGGCGGGTTGCATCTGGCCCCCGGACTGCGTTTTGCCCAACCCCTGCCTTAGATCAATTCCACCGCGGGCTTTTTGAATGTCTCTACCTAGCCAGAGATATAGAGGCATCTTCATTTTCTCAGTTTCTGGTATAAAACAATTGTGGGGCCATCTTTTTATCTCAGTGATATCAGTTTAAATCTGATGGGCACATTATGCTACCCAGTCAATGGCTGCATTAGGGTTTGCACTGATGTAACTGAAATCAGCACCTATTCCCTAGAACCAGAAATTCAAGTTCTAAGGTTCAAATTCAAACTCTACCCCTCATTCTTCTAACTGGGGTCCAGCTTGCTGTGCCTATAGCTTTTTTAGAGGGTACCCTAACATCTGAATTCCCACCTGTTCTGCTGGGACACAATTAATCCCATGAGAATCCACTGCAAGTCATTGCTTTGAACCTCAAGCAATTTCCCCCCTTCCCCATGCTGTGTTGTCATCCTCTTTACCAGAGTGGACTGCATTACATGTCTGCTGTATATATACACAATTGTACAGGGCTCTGGGATGAAAAGCTTTGTGGAAATGCAAGATATTCTTATATCATTGCAGCCCAGCCATAATTCATTCTATAGGGTCAAACCCATCTAAGGGCCATGAGTTAGCACAAAGTCCTCTTAAGCTCCTTAAGGGCGAAAATGATCAACTGCTGTGCAGAAGTCCCAGAAAGGCATTTATCTATCCTATAAGCCTCATACCACCTAAGCAGCTCCTCAGGGGAGCTTAAGGGAGGTGTGAATGCTGCAGAGAATTCAGTGTGTAACCTCTGCTTGGGGCTGCATTTTTATTCCATAATAAACAGCAATCAAAACAGTATCTTAAATGGCCAAAAAGGATAAGCAGAGTAATCAGTCAAAAATAAATTCTTCAGTTGGTTTGGCTGACAACAACGTGAGACTGCTAACACTGACAAAGACTAACCGTCTGAGAGCATTACAGCAAGAAATAAATACTGGTGGTAACTGTCTTTGCCCTCAGAAGCTCCAAGACAAGGGGTCAAGTTCACTTCCTTTTCCACCGTTGGAATAAATTCCAACCTCATTAGACATGTCCTCCCCAGGACACTATATTTTGGCTGTCTTTAGCTGCTAGTTTTACCTTCTGAATTTTATTCCACACACGTTCTTTATCACTTCTTCTTCCTTCAAGGGTGTCCATGGCATCTGCCATTAGCAACTGCAGCTGGGGCACCAAGATAAAAATTATCAGTGTGGAATTCACACAGAAATAACTTCTCTAAATACACAGATTAAAACCTAATTAAAAAATCATTTGTACGCTGATGATTTTATTACTCATCTTTCACACAATGAGCACTGCCGCCTCATCATTGCTTCAGCCATTACACTGTGTTATTGTGGATATAAAATACTTAACAATGGGGAAAATTCCTGGGGAATATTTGTCCGTAACCTATAGGTTTCAATGTAGTAAATGCTTATGTTTTGCAAAGGCAGATTTGGATGGTAAGAATAAAGGTCCCATATTTCATTATTTAACTCTCTGGGATATTCTATGTAGTCCATGAATACTTTTTAGTATTTTCTCCTAAGGGTAATGCATCACAGTTTAAGACAGCATGTAAAACCTCACAAGAGGACAACACTAAAGTTGAGATGTTTTTACTGTACCTCAAAGTATCTAGCTCATTTACCTTCTTTTACTATCCTCCTCTTTGACAGAGCCTCCCCATCATTCAGTGTAACAGAGCATAAAAACAAGGCTGGCTATTTCTAGAATAAACTACAAAAATGCAGCTGTTTAAAAGGCTTGATAGTCAGTATTCACTACTAGTGTCTGGGCCCAGAATTTGGTGAGGTCTCACTTTGTTCCTCTTCTTATGCATCTTAAAAATGCATTTTTAACTGCATGTAAATAACACAGAAATTGTTGGCCTGGACCAGACAGGTCTATCTAGTTCACTATCCTCTTCCTTGCAGCAGCCTACACTGGAGGGTGCAAGAAATAGGCAAATGTAAAATAATCTTCCCTCAGTTAGGCCTCTTTCTATACCCTTTAGTTAGAGATCAGTTTAAGAACTGAAGCATGGGGTTTAGCATCTCTTCTGAAACTTAGTGTTGATCATTATAAATTAGATAGCCTTGTTATCTATTTAGATGTCTAGTCTCTTGAAAGGTCTGGTTTCAAAAGGCATATAAAAGGAAATTCAGAATTCCTGTTGAAGATCCAGCTGAACATTGCCATGTACTCACCTTTCTGTACCCAGATGGTGCAGGAACCTAATATGAGTACATGACACGATATCACTCAGGAGCTCTGCTAGTTATGCTTAGCTAAGCAAGAGATGGAAAAGATGCCTAGTCTAAGAAGCCACACTGTATTTCCTTAAATTTATGGAAGTGAGCTTTACCATTCAAGTTTTGTGCTTAAAATTCCTTTCCTGTGCTCCAGCAGTGGATAAATAATGCATGACTGCATGAATATTCTTTTGACTCACTAAATGAGTTTGCTTTGGCTTTAGCTTGCTTTCACAACCATGTTGCACTCACTTTGCATGAACATCCATTGGACTGAATCTTATTGGTCCAAATGTTTGCAGAAAACAAAGTCTTATATATCAATATTCATGGCAACAAAATGCAAGTTCTGCTGCTGGCTGTAATAGGAGCAGAGTCAAGGTCTTTGACAGAGATTGTCGAACATTTTCTGTTACACTAATTTTGTGACAAAAAATCTCATTGAGAGAGAAGAAGTGTGTCTAGAATAGTCAACAGTTTGACAGTTAGGTTACTCAGCGAACATATGGGAAGTCCAGGTTCAAATCTTTGCTTCAAATCAGGTGAAGTGTGGTCCTAAACTTGTTGCTTTCAGTGTCCCACAGGGTAGGTAAATGCTCTCATCATCAGCTTGTTGTGGAATCGGATTCCTCTGGTTTAAAAAAAAAAAAATTCACCTTGCCCCAAGAAATCTTCCCAATGAAAGATTTGCTGAAATTGATAATTTGCCCTGACAAGTTTCAGTTTCAACAAATCTGCATTTTTGGATGAAGATTGTTTTATGGAATATTTCCTGACCGGCTCTATAAGGGACATCGGAAAATTCTTCCAGATAGACAGCTAGCATACTAAAAAAAAAGAAATCTATTTTGTTTTTCCCAAAATGGAATTTTTCTGGAAATACTTTCCCATGAAAAAAATTTGTATTTTAACTCTTCATCACAATTTGTGTTGACCCCCCCCCCCCAACAAACCCAACCTATTTTTTAAAGAGGAATAGCTTTCTATTTTCCATCAAGTTCCCAAGTTTGATTTATGGAGCACGAATACAGTAATGCAGAGCCATAAACATCTTCAGAAGGTTTTTGTGTTGATATTTTGATTGTGTTCAGCAGCTCACATTGAATGAAATTTTCCTTCCCTCAGATCTTGCAAACAAATAACAAGTTTAAAAATCATGAGCCAAGAGTCTCTTTGCCATATGTTAGGACTCTCTTAATTTATATGCTTTTGAAGTTAACAGAAAGGAGTTTACAACTGAAATGCCTTTAGGCTCCTTGTAACAGCACTGATATAACTAGGGTGGAGTTATAAGGGCAGCTGCCCCCGGTGCCAACTTAAGCTGTGTGTGGAAAAAAATGGCTCTGATAGCACTGGCAGCACATAGACAGCCAGAAGTCCCCGTATGACACAGCTTCCCAGAGTGCCTGACTGTTGTTGCGTTTCTGTGTAACGGCATGAATGCACTATACACCCAGCATGCTTTACATTTTGCACAACTTGTAATCCACATAACATATATGAATTTTCAGCTGTTCCTTACTGAAAAACTTAAACTGGTCTATTTGAACCACCTCAGGCTAGGTACAGACATTCAAAAAACTCAAAGCAGAATTGGTCTAAGTTACGCGGTTTTCTGTTAGCAGTGTAGTTTAGATCAGTAGCGAACAGAACATACATTTGCCCGTTGGTGGGGGATCAGGGCACAAATCTCAGGCTGGGTTTCACCATTTTTAAACCAGTCTGTGTGCGCTCAACTTCTGTTCTGTGATGGGTATAGACTAGTTTCTGATCTCTTATACTGGTAAAAAATGTAATGTCTGTACCTGGCATTAGTTATCTCAGCTGTACCAGTGGAAAGCCAGAATGACTTCAGTGGAGTTATTCTATGTTTGTGTTAGAGGAAAGTATTGGCTTGATCTATTCTTCCCCACAGAAAAATACCAAAAAAAAATTCTGATCATGGTCATAAACAATTTTAAAGGAAGAAGAGTGCAAAGTATATTCACTACAAAGCTCTGGAAATGCACAAGAGTCCTTCCATCCGTTGGAGTGGATGATGGTCCAGCTTCTTAGAGTCTGCCTCTTCAAAGAAATAATCCTGAATGTATATTTGTTCCCATGCAGCATCCCATTGACTCTGTGTAGGAGTTACTGCAGAAGCACTGACATCCAAAGTTGGCTTTCACATACCAGGCCTAAAGGAGTTGAATTTCCTTTATTGTTAGGCATTTGTGCAGAGTGCAAGGGAGGATGGCAGGGCAAAGTACCACTAATAAACTGATGAATCCATACATTTTAATGCTGCAGATGGGCCAGACTGTTACTTTTTTTCTTTTAAATTACTCCTGTTTTGGGCTTGGCAAACATGGATTTCTTACTAGATATTTACCATTCATCACTGAATACTCATGCCAGGTTCTGGTTCTGCCAAGTCCTATGAAATAAAGTGAGACTAGCTTTCCCCTCCTCTGTTTTCCTGAGGCTTCCTTGAACCTTCCTTTGAAATATTCCAAGGGAGGTCAGGCTCCCAGCTGGAGAAGAGTTGCTTTACATAGATTTAGGCAACAATTAAGAGCACATGCCCAAGCTATGTGATTTGGAAAGTCTCTAGTGAAAAATGCATCAGTTCCTCAAGATACACCTCTAATTGGCCTTAAAATGTGGACCGGTAGATACTAGTACCAGGAAATTTGTTCCAAACAGAGGATGCCTTTTACTAGAAGTAGTTTCTTTGAAATGTGTCTTCCTCTTACCTTAAGCACAGACTTTAATGTTTGGCAGCTGCTAGGTGTGTGCAGAGTTGGTCTTATTTGATTCGGATTCAGATTTGGCCCGAATTGGGGACAATGATTTGATATCTTTGATTCGGATCACTGTCCCTGATTCAATTTGGCCGAATCTGAAGATTTAATGCTGATTCAGAGACTCAGCGATTCGGCCATAGACACAGCTTTAAATGTTTTTTCTACATACCTCGAGGCACCAGCATGGCTTGTGAATGCTGCAAGGCTGGGGCAGATGGCGCGTCCCACAGGAGGCCCTCCATGTGCTCAGCAGCGAACCTGGAAGTGGACCAGAAGTACTGGGTTTGCTGGGGAGTGTGCTGGGGGGCCCCCCATGCCCCTCCCAGCTCAGCGATAGGCCATGGGGGGACCCCAGGTGCCTCCCCAGACCCAGGAGGCACCAGTTGCTGAGCTGTGGTGGTGTGGGGGGGGCCCTCATGTGCTCCCCGGCAGTCCTGGAAGTGGACAGGAAGCGTTTCTGGTCCACTTCTGGGTCTGCTGCTAAGTGTACTGGGGAGCCCCCATGCTGCTGTGGGACGCTACATGCACCCCAGCATCGCAGCATTCAGGAGCTCCCTGCTACATAGAGGTATGTAGAAAAAACATTTAAAGCTGTCCGAATCACCGAATCTTTCCGAATCGATTTGGAGGGTTCCGATTCGATCCGGAGAGATTAAAGGGCTGAATCTCCACCGAATCGATTCAGGGGCTGAAGCTTCACACAGCCCTAGCAACTACCTCCCTCAACAAGATGGAGCTGTTTAGTTCCTTATGGCAAGCTGTTCTGTGAAGCCCTGGTTCTACAGAGCTCAGGGGCTCTGGAGGACAGCAGCCATGGCTCGAGACTGGCTTCAGGAAAACCCAGAATCTCAGAGGCCAACATTTAGATCATCAACGCTTGACTGACTATAAAAGTAGGGAGTGAGGAATATGTAATCCTCACTCAGGAGAACAAAGGGAGAAATTTGTTTTACCTGAGCAAATTGTTGAACACCCCACAAACTTGACATAACTATAGTACCACTTGGCACTGCTATAGCACATTCCATTTGCACGTATCAGGCTGTTAAACTTGTTAATGAATTCAGCTTCGTAACACTTCTGCAAATATTACTATCCTCATTTTATAGAGGGGAGGGAAAAAAAACCAACCCTAAAGTACAGAGGGGCAAAGGGATTTGCTCAGGATTGCACAGGAAGGTAAGAATAAAAATCTCTTGCTTCCTGATTTCTAGTCCTGCACTCGAACCCCAAGAACATTCTGCCTCTCTTGGTGCAGCTGGCTATGCTGCTGGATATTTTTGCATATCATGATCTGAATAATTGCAATCATTTTCCAGGCTTGTTTTTGGAGGGTTGGGGGAAGGAAAGATGTTTTTAGAATATAAAAGCAAATGCTTCCCACCCTTCCACAAAAAGTACCCATGCAGGAGCTCAGCACCTCTTCTGATAAAATATTGCAAGGAGAATTTCAAAACTAGTCCAGAGTCTGTGAATATTAAGCATTGACTTCCATTACAAATTACATTGCAACATCTCTTTCCCCCCATCCCTTGGCTCACTGCCTGCAAGAGCCAAAACAAGGATTAAAAATAAATACTCACCAATTCAGCATCTTGCTGACTGATGTCCTGCAGATAGGGAACGGTTGCTAGCTCAGCTATCGCTTGATTAATCACTTGGGACTGTTCCTTGACTCGCTGCAACTGGCGGAGGAGGCTGGCATATTGCAACTTCTCTATCACACCTGAACATGCACAGAAACTCTCCTAGTCTCTTAGCAAAAGCAAATGGGTTAGAAGAGAGCCACAGAAAACATACCTCTCCTTTGAGACTTATGTCAGGGCTTATCGTCATATATATTCCCAGTGGTAATTCTATAACCAAAGAAGCATAAAACACCTTTAAGATAATGCTTTTTAGAATCTTATATAGGAAAAAAGACTTTACACAATCTCTCTAGTAGTACTAGAAGAAAAATTGTTGATAACTGATATGCAAGAGCAGACCCCAGATAACCAACACGAATGTACTTTTTTCTTTTCTCACTTAGAAAAGCCTATTCCATAATCCTCTTTGTTAAACTGTTGTTCGACTTTTTGGGTTTCCTTTAATGCTTCAGTGAAGAGGTTCAGGAAACCACATAATGGAAAAATCCCTGACATGTTCACAAACAAGGAAAACCCACAGCTTTCACACCTGGCTATAACACATGACGAAACTGCAGAGATGGACTCTGATCTTGGTAGCATTTGAACACAAAATGTAAGCATGTGAGGAAGTTAGTCAAGTGTTTAAATTAAAAGGGAAGCATGTGCCCAAGTGCTTGTCAGATTAGAGTTTTAGGGTCATATTTTCAAAAGTATCACAATGCTCAAATTTAGAGATTGGTACCTAGTAGGATTTTCAAACCACATAGGCCTACATGCATCACCGCAAAGCTGTGTTCACCACATGGTCCTTGGGCATCCTGACACTGCTTTGCTCCTGCTGCATTCACTGGATCAGGGACATGAGCTTTTATTTCCTATATGCCATGCGTGTAACCTAACCGCTAGCCTACAGAGCCAACCTTTCACTTGTTTATCTTCTTGGCCCAGTGAATATTTAATAATTTGAATCCAATAGCATAGCTTCAAAAATGATATTTAGAGAACATCATTGCATGTCACCTAATAGTCCAGTAGTTAGCATCTGGTCCTGGCAGGGAAAGCCCTGAGATCTAGTCTCTGCAATAAATCAGGCAAAGGAGGGGTTCAAAGACAGGCTCCAAGGACCCTGGTTAGTGTCTTAATTGCTAGGGGTCATGAAACAGTGCCAGCCAGCACCCAAAAGTCTTGTGTATGGCTCTCTCCTGTACATGTGCAATGCATGTGTGTTCTCTGAAAATGTTGACCGCAGCAGGCACTGTAAGGGACCACCTAAGCTGAGAATCCTATGGGACCTGGACATGGGCTGAGGCTCCAAGTGACTCAATGACAACAGGACTCAAACAGTTTTCTGAAGGCCCACCAGCAGCAATTTAGGCACACAGGGATTTTAAGGTGCTGCTGCTGTTTCTGATGTAGGTGCCTGCCTACAAAAGATGACTATGAACTAACAATGTGATGTGGCCATGGAAAAGGCAAACTGAGTCCTAGAGTGTATAAGGTGGGGTATTTCCCCCAATGATTGGAAAATTTTGAAGTCATTTCATCTGATCCTATTGAGACCACATCTGGAATACTGGGTACAGTTCTGGTGATTTGTGCAGAAGGGTGGATTCAAACTGGAACATGGGCAGAGCAGGGCTACTAGGATTATCATGCAACTGGAGAGCCTATTTTATTAAAGGAGAGGAGATTGGCTTGTTTAGTTTAATAACACAAGGGTTGAGAAGGGGGCATTATTGCTGTCTATAAATACATCAGTAGGGGGAGTGTTGGTGTAAACACCAATAGGAAAGAGCTATTCAAGATAAAAGACAACAGTGATGCAAGAACAAATGGGTAGAAAGTAGCCATAAATAATTTTAGGCTGAAAAAAGAAGAAAGCCTCTTAATAGGACCTGTGGGGGCAAAAGGGGTAAGAATCCATCCTTTCCACCTTATAACTCAATTCTTATGCTCAGAAAAAGTTAAGTTTCCATGGTTTGACCTACAGGAAGCTCTATGTATCATCAGGGAAAAGGTTTATACTAATGCTGACACTGAAATTATACACTGCCTGGGTCAGATGTAGCAGGGTGATTTAGTAATTAGAAAATTCCCTGATATAAGGAGGCATTAATTGTTTTACTTCATCTCAGTGCCAGTCAGTGCTATGCTATAGAAAAAGTTAAGTTTCCATGGTTTGACCTACAGGAAGCTCTATGTATCATCAGGGAAAAGGTTTATACTAATGCTGACACTGAAATTATACACTGCCTGGGTCAGATGTAGCAGGGTGATTTAGTAATTAGAAAATTCCCTGATATAAGGAGGCATTAATTGTTTTACTTCATCTCAGTGCCAGTCAGTGCTATGCTATTAGCCACCCTAAATTGAAGAAGGCCCTGCCAGGAGACGCCATCAGGGCAAGGGGTGCAAAGGTAAGTAATGGGGGTCTTGCCATCAGGGCAAGGGGTGCAAAGGTAAGGGAGAGGAAACAATTATTTTGACCAATTTCTATCTTAATTTTTAAACCAAAAAAGCAATATTACAAGTCTCACTGTATCAGTTACAATAGACAAAACCCCTAAATTATTCCTATCATATGCCCTTGGGGGGAGGTGGGTAGTGGAGTCCCCCAGGGCTCGGTCCTGGGGCCTGCGCTGTTCAATTTCTTCATCAGCGATCTTGATGTTGGGGTGGAGAGCAACCTGTTTAAATTCGCTGATGACACCAAAATTTGGGGGGAGGTGAGCACGCTAGCAGGGAGAGAGAGATTGCAGAAGGATCTGGATAGGTTACAGGGGTGGGCAGACAGGAACAGGATGCGTTTCAATACGGACAAGTGCAGGGTGCTGCACTTGGGTAGTAGGAACCAGCAGCACACTTATACGATGGGGAGCTCCCTACTTGAGAGCACGGAGGCGGAAAGGGATCTTGGTGTCATTATTGACTCCAAGATGAACATGGGCCGACAATGCGAGGTCATGGTTGGCAGGGCTAACCGGACCTTGTCGTGCATCCACAGGTGCATCTCGAGTAGAGCCAGGGAGGTGATCCTCCCCCTCTATGCGACGCTGGTCAGGCCGCAGCTGGAGTATTGTGTCCAGTTCTGTGCGCCCCATTTCAGGAGGGATGTGGACAACATGGAGAGGGTCCAGAGGAGGGCCACCCGCATGATCCGGGGACAACAGGGCAGACCCTACAGTGAGAGACTGCGGGACTTGAACCTATTCAGCCTCCACAAGAGAAGGCTGAGGGGGGACCTGGTGACCGTCTATAAACTCACTAGGGGGAACCAGAAGGGTTTGGGGGAGACGCTGTTTCCCCTAGCCCCTGCTGGCATAACAAGGAATAATGGGCACAAGTTGATGGAGAGGAGGTACAGATTGGACATCCGAAAAAACTACTTCACAGTTAGGGCGGCTAGGAGCTGGAACCAACTTCCAAGGGAGGTGGTGCTGGCCCCTACCCTGGGGATCTTTAAGAAGAGGCTGGATACTTACCTGGCTGGACTCATTTGAGTCCCGTTTTTGTTTTTAGGGTGAGTGGTTTTGTTTGTGTTTTTGGGTTGTTCTCCCGCCCTGGCGGGGGGGCGGGCTAGAAGATCTATTAGGTCCCTTCCGACCCTGAAACTATGAAACTATGAACTATGAAACAATTTCAAAGTTGCTTTGAGGCCAGATGCTCCCAGTAAGGATGGGCTGAGCCTTAATGAGGTGCAAACAGCTGAGGGGAGGCTAAGCAGAGACTTTGACTGACAAGGTAAGGAGTTATAATGAGGTGTAAAGAGCCAGAAGCAGGCATGCTTAGTTCCATTTCTAATACTGAAATCCATGGGATTTGGGAACTATCTAGTACCATTTGCACATTTTAAATAACTGTCTACTTTACCCACCAGTGTCTTAAGTAGCTTATACTTTATAAGCTATATACTGTACATACATGGACATAAAGAAGAGTAATCAAGGAGAAGGAGAGAGAGAGAGGGAGAAGCTAACATATATCAAATACAATTTTAGTTGGAGCAGGAGGCTGCTCTTTGCCTTTCTTGAAAACCACCCAAGAAACCCTTTGTGTAAGTTTTTAGAAGTGAGCGTATTGACTCATCAGCTAAGAAAGCAAGTTAAAAATGCTTTCTCATTGGCTGAATCATGCTGTCCCAGTGGGGCTTCTCCAATTATCAATAAGCAGAGGCAAAATGGAAACAACTCTTTGTTAGTTTGATTTGCCAGAAAAATATGAGCGCGCGCCATGGAACTAAAGCAAACAAATTGGATAACTGAGCCAGCTGGTGCTCTGTGGACATAGCAATGTTATTTAAATCTACAGTAGGCCAGAGGTAAATAAATAAATAACGTACAGCAGGATTTTTAAAATGGATTATAGCAGGTTGAATGTTGTCAGAGGTTGTGTTTCAGTGACAATGAAAAATGCAGAAGGAGAGTGTATATAACTGCTGCTGGCAGAAAGAAGAGTCCATGGGGATCTGAACCACATGATGGGGAATTACATGAACTACAGTGGAATTCAAGAGACTACTAAGCTGCAGCAAAAGAAAAAAAGAAAGTGGCTAAGGAAGAAACTGAAACTGCCTCACACAGGTGTATTGAATGGTAAATAAATAGTAAAAGCTTGCAGGGAAGCTTTAGTGGGAAAGAACTAGCTTATTGAACAGATGGAAGTGCTTAACACTTAAGAACTGGGAATGTGATGTAACCAACAAATACAGGACACACTTTTAATGCCAAGACAAAAAGGGCACAAAACATTAGCAGGCAGGCCAACCATAATGCTGTTCCTTGGCAGATGTGTCCAAGCATAAAGTATCCAGGTTTCACAAGGAAGGAACAAAAAGTAGAAGTAACAAATGCTGGGCCTTGCTTTGTAGCCTTCTTCAAACTAGCCAAGGAGTTCTGTAAAGAGAAAGTCCATAGAAAACCTACAGCTAAAATGATCCCTTTTAAACAGTTTCTTCTGAGCTCATTGATAAGTTTGTCCCTCTGTGGATTAAGCAGAAGACTTTCAAGAGGTATGCTAGTAAGCCAGTACATCCAAGGAAGCAGTGCCTCAGCATCAGGTCTTAGTCCCTCTCTAGGACCCTGGGTGGCAGAGCACTGACTTAAGACAGAACCAGCTTA